AAGTCTTTTTTCGGGAGCATTAAGGTCCAAAGATTGTCTGGCTTCACTGGGCCCCACAAATGTCGGGGAGCAGTAAGGTTGCAAGATTCGCTGGCCTAAACTGGGTTCCAAAACATGTTTGGCAGCAGTCAGGTGGCAAGATCCTTTGGCCTAACTGGGCCTTAACTTTTTGCTTTCTAGCGTTCACTTCCGCCGCGCGCCCGCGACAAAGAGACAAGAAAATAATACCAATACCAAACGCAAACATGCGGTCACAGAGACAGAGGCAGAGAAAGAGAATGGGACAGTGAAAGCTTTGCCTCTTGCTCTCATATCTCATTCCGGCCGGTACCCGGCTGTCAGGCGTAAGCCTTTAAATGTAATTACGATTGCTCTTACCTGCATCTTTATTGGACAAAAAAATTGTGCACTTGATTTTGGAGGAGATTTCCGTGTACTCTACAGAAATCTGTGCACTTGATCACGAAATTGTGCATTTCTGTGAGCATGGTCCTGTCTTGAAACACACAAGAAGGCCCTGCTTGTCATTTGCGCCGGAGCCTGCGCTTCCAGCTCAACTTCCGAATCTCCCATTTCATTTTGATACGGATCCGGTCTAGCACTCTGTGGCTTGCAGTTCTTGAACTCACTCTCTGAATCTCTCTGACATATCCTGCTAACATGTCCCACCACAGATTCATAAGCTTCGTAACTGTAGGGTAGTGGACAGGAAAAGATGTGTGTTGGGTGGGAAAGACGTGTATAGGACGGGAAAAAATGTGTATTGGACGGGTAAAGACGTGTATTTGATGGGAATTTCCGGGTAGAACAAATTTGTCACGCGGGACTTTTCTTCAACAAAATGGAGCCCTGCTGGTTTGACAAGCTCCAAATCTCTTGAGGGAGCAGCGGACGCCATTCCTTTGGGATGGGCACACCCTTCGACCCACAAAGGTATCTCAATACTTCTGACAAAGCTGCATGTTCTCATTTGTCACCGAATGACAGGCTTCGGAAGTGGAAAAATGCTACCCAATACAGCCCAAAAGGCTACAATCAAAAACGTGCACTTCAAACGACTTTATGTTTTTTCCTGAAAGACGTGTAGTGCACTGGAATTTCTGAATGGACAATTATTTTTGATCATTTGAGGTTGCAGGTACAAATACTATACATCTCCAGGTCGAACTGCAGAGAAGACCGTCACCCCAACGTACCCCTTACTTGCCGAGCTGGAGGCCCAAGGCCGACCGCGCCCGCGCGGAGGCGCGCGGGTACGCTCCGACGCGACCGCTCCGCGCGCGACGGTCCGAAGGGGACGGGTTCCGTTGATTTGTTGAGGTCTATCCAGGATGGTCTAGCCACGCCAGACAGCCACTATCCAGGAATGGAAGAAATCCAGGAACGGGGCAAGAATTCGGGGATTCACATGGAGTCACCCACTTTTGAAAGAATTCATCATCCGATCGGCACAACCCGGCCTGGTATGGTTCGAAAAGGCCACTTCCATGGACCAGTTACCAGGGGAATGGACGGTTCCGGTTCCGCGACCCCTGTAGAACAGACTCCTGTGACACCAGCGGCTCTGGCGGCGGTAGCTCCGGCCTCCAAAAGAGAACAGGTAATAATCCCGTACCGCACGGAAGGGGGGACTGCCTTCAAAAGGTTGAACCTTCTTTCGATGCCAAATGGCATGGGGGATGTGTCAAAACCAGGAGCGCGGCTCCACAGGTTCAATACCCATGTAGCTTGACCTTCCATGTAGGTGAACCAAGGTATCCTGATTTTGACCCCCAGCCAGATGAAACTTGCCTGTTTTTCTCTTCAGGTGATCCACACATCCAAACAGTTTTGGCAAAGTCTATACCACGTGGCTCTGGCCCAATGACAGATCTCATATAAAGTGTTCTATTTTGACGCGCATTTGTCTTCACTCTGTCTCATCTAAAACTCTTCAGGTGCAGGGGGAACCGATTTCAGCTGCTGTTCCGGTCTGCATCTCCCACAAAAATTGGTCCATTTATCCTGATTCCTTACATCCAGTCGGGCACGACAGGGACAAAGCTATTCAATCATGGCTCATCTAGGTCCAATACAGTATATAGATCTATAAATGGTCCAGCATGCTTTACCTCTCCATTCAAGAATCAAGACATGGTTCAGTATGCAGAAATTAGATCTATCTAAAAAGTTCGAGCGGGGCACACTATGAGATCTATATTAAAAAAAGTTCAGCTTAAACCAATCTCCACCATTCCTCCCTCTGCATTCACTGCATTGACCCGGTCCACCTAGTTCTTCTCCCTTTTGTCTGACCGGCCTGCGCAGCTGGGTCCTCTCGTCGCCGAAAAAGGGGCTGTCCGCAGCACCCGGCAGCGGAAAGCTGTGAGGAGAGCTGTGAGGAGAGCTGCTCTCCTTGAAATCCGATGCAACCAGGAGAGCTGCTCTCCAGCGGTTGGACGTAAGGTTTATGCCGTGGACCTCTTGGACCTCTTGGACCACCTCAAGTCCCAAGTGTTTTTCGAGTTTCATGTGACCTTGTCTCACTCGTCTGAGGCCGTAAGAAAGTTGGTTGTCTTGGAGCCAAAAAAAAACATGCGGAAACCTTGGGTTTGCAGGTCTGCTTCCGCTTGCTTGCCAGGCTGCACCGAGTGCACTCAAGAATCATCGCAGGGTTTGAACCTGTGATGTTCGCAAAAATCAGTTAAGGTGGGACGCCGTTCAACCGCCGCGTTTGTCCCACCCATAATGCGACGAGTATGTTTAAACCAATAACAACAAAAACATACAAAAACCTTGTGCAAACCAAAAGCCGTGCCTGTCCCGTGCTTTTCCCCTCTCACCCATCATAAGGTGACAGCCAAAAAAATGATCGAAAAAAAAAGACCACTCTGTGGTTCGCAACTGGTTCCATCCCGGTTTCAGCATTCCAATCACTCCGTTGTCTGATGTTCTCACCGTTTTCGGTCCGCTCGGCTCCTGTCGGCGCTCCCGAACCTCCGGTCGCCGACCCCAGCGGCGTTGGATAGGGGCCTGGAAGGTGCGTAACACTAAGGGAGGAGGATCATGCAGAGTACACCGTTGGATGGGGGCCTGTGGCAGGGAGCTACGAATGGAGCGTACTGGGAGCGGACGCGACGTATACTAGGATTCTCAAGGGCATCCCTACGAACGGAGCAGGGATGCTACTAGGATTCTCTGCATTGTGTAAGGGTCTTCTCCTCCCGCTCAGATGTGTTCGAGCTGGTCGATTGGGAAGACCAGAACCTTTACGGGGAAGTGGTCTACATGCAGTTTGAGGAGCAGCTGCTTCAGTCCTCGATCCCAAAACACTGGAGGTTTCATGGGGCCTCTCTTGATCTGGTTCTTTTACAGGCGCGATTCTTCGGCCGTTGCCATCGACCAGCCACGTATTGTCACTTCATGGCGGGCGGACACAGCCGTTCAATGCAATGGGTGCCTGTTCATGCAATCTGCGTCGACGTGTCGTTGCATGATCTGCTTGTCATGTAGACAGGGAGTGAACATCACCATAGTCAACTCAACTGGTGCTTTAGAAAAAACAATAAGAACCATGATATATCCATAATATCCATAATATATATATATATATATGAACAATGAATGACCATTTCACTATTCAATAATAAGTAAATGGGTTTGCTGGTTTCTTGTGTATGTTGACTTGGGGGTGGAACCATGAAATCGGAACCCTCAAGCAAGAGGGCCGGGTGCCAGGGTTGCTTCAAGAAAAAGAAGCACATCTCTCCCATCTGGGGCCCTTCACCCTTCACCTGTGCCGGTCCATCCACGCCTCGCTTGGTCCATCTACGCCCTCCGCGCTGCGTGCACGCCCGCGCGGCGCAAATGGCGGCGTTCTGGGCCTCCAACGATGGGCGATGCAGGTCGAGGACGGGCAGCGGGTTAGCACAGCAAGGCACAGCAACTCCAGGGAAAGTTGGAGCCATAACAGGAGAACCCATAACTACTCAGTCATGTACATATGTTTGAGTTAAACATCATTTGTCATGTCATGGGTGGTTCATCTGTAATTAATGTAGTATATATATATTATAATTGTTAAATCCTCCATCAATCTTTCTGTGATACAAGTAGGTGGGTTATGGTGTGTTACCCCATGTCCCACCCGTGCAGCAGCCGTCGTCTATTGTCCTCCACTTGCACAATTCAAATTGTGAAATTAATGGACAATCAATATAATATATACATAATACACCCATTGCAGCCTTTGGGAGTCCCCAGTCCTCCCAATCTATAGTCCACATGGAGTCCACTCCTCCCCAGTCGTTTCTGGGAGATCCAGCGACGAATATGAAGGGAGTGGTTCTTCTATCCTGGGTGCTGCAAGCAGGGAAAACGCAGCGATCAGCAGCAACAAACACCCAGAATCTAGAATGACAGGAAGCACCAGCGTCCAGCACCGAAAAAAAAAAAAAAACAGCAGCTTAAGGTCTCAAAACGGAGCTTACAAAACCAGGAATATGTTTCACTTGGGAAGACTGGGGAAGCCTCTTTGGTGTGCTTAGCTCTGGAGGAAGCTCTTCTGGAATTATCTTCACATAGCTGCCCCAAAAATTGTCTAAGAGTGGGGCGGCGTGCCAAAAGCACGATCTTTGCCGCCACTTTGAAGACGCGGGCAGGTCAACATCGGCGGCTTAAGTATCCCACGCAGGTCAACATGCTCTTCTCAAAGACATGTGAATCGACGCCAACAAGCCTCGACAAACATCACATACAATCAATGCATATTATGAATCATTCCGCCTTAGGAGGATCTGAAGGGAAGTCTACTGTGGCATGTGCGTTCAGATCAGATCTACTTAGAGAACTGCACCACGGCACTGAACACACTGCTCACCGCAAAAGCGTCGTCTCGTGCTGTTCGCACGATCCTTCCCACGAATGCGTCTCGATCGATCCTTCGAAGGGTGACCCACCACTGCGGAGCTCCTGGGCGAAGACCGAAGCGGATCTCTTGGGGTCCGGACCCCCAATCCTCCTCATCCCCAAAGAGCTCCGCCGCCGACCGCTGGGGCGACGGCGAGTCGACTGGCGCGCGCAAGGGGGGATTCGGGTGTGGGATGAGGATGACTGCCCCGGAGGTGGAGGTGGGATGACTGCCGCGTGGCCGCCGCCACGCGTGGCGATCCCAACGCTCTCCCGTTGGACGGTGTTCGGCGCATGACTGGCCACGCTGAAAAAGGATCGGTCCTGAATTGAGAGACAAGTTAGTCGAGACGACTATATACCGTAGTTAGTCATGCGGAGGAAAATGAGATCATCCCCTAAGTGACCAGCCCTGCGTTTTCAAGGGATGGCGGCTTGAGCAATGGATGGCGATGTCAGGAAGAGTCGGAAGAGTTGCGTCTAGATTGGAGTTCCTTACTTCCAAGTAATGGTCACGGTGGACTGTTGAAATTATCAGAGGCCTGTATGGGTTTCTATGTGGGCTTGACCTCTATGAACTTCCTAAATGTAGGGAATACTAATACTATTGGGGGCAAAACAACAACTAGTGGTGGGAATGGTTCAAAGTCAGCGTTTTACTCTAACCAAATGGCCGCAAGGTTCCGCCCAACAAGCAACTATAGCATACTGTATGCTTTTTCTGGTGAGATGCAACCAACTAGCATCCCAACGTTTAACGGGCCTTGTGACGAAACAGTGACACCAACGGGCCCAATTCTCTGAAGTCGGGGGTCTTCTCCGACGTGACACCTGCAACTCCCCATCTTCACACGTCTGAGGTCCCCACATGAACCTCGGGTCGGCCGTTTCCTGCGCAGGACACGTCACGTGCCCACGCAGCAGATAAAAAAAAGAGGCATGTGGTGCTTGGAAGATCTGCACACTGAACAGGAGATCTGAAAGATTCTGAAAGTGAAGACTTTAATTATAGTAACTGCAGCTATTAAGTTATATATTATAATATATTATCATACATTATGATACTACATCGGGTGACTTGAGGGTGATTTGTCCGCTAGCATCCCTGGCAGACTCGCATCCGGAATCATGAAGGACTTCGCATCGCCGACCTGCCGACCTGATGGAACCACCACTGGTTCGCCCGACCCAATGAACTTCGGTGAGCGAAGTCCCAGCGAAGTACACCAGCGACTCAGGCGAAGGAAAAGAACTCTTCACAGCAGCGAAGTCCCAGAGTTCCTTGACAATGGCCTTTTTTCCTCGTGAGATATCATCTGCAACAACCTTCAAGCTTCTTCCAAGCGACCTTGAGTCAATCTGGCCCTCAAACTGTCCATCAATAATTGAAAGACCGGGCTCTTGTTTGGATCTTGTATTATGTGGTGCCTTCGCGATATGCTTTCGCGAACCTTTTGAACTTTCCACACTTGCCCTCCAATAATGATAAAGTAAATATTAAATATATTCTACAGAAAAAATGAACAGAGTCTCCTCAACTGCAAAGGATACTCATCAAAGGATGTTTTGCATACGCAAGTTGCCTTCGCGGAACTCTGAGAATTGTCCTTTGTGCGCTTTGTGGGCTATGATGTGAGTTCCACTTTCTTTCATACGACCCTTACATTGCTACATGCCAATACAAAAACATTGCTCACATCCCGCCCATGCTCCTCAGGCTTTGTAAGCTTTCCATCTCTTTTTCATGACTTTGGCCTGACCAGGGCTGTCACGGCAGTGACTGGACCTCGGCTCTGTCCTGCTTACCGGGTGCACCTAAGGCCGGGCAGGGCATTTTCGAAGTTCAGCTCTGGAAACGTCTGGAAACATCTACCGTGCCAGTTCCGGTGTGTGATATTCGATCTTTTATGTAGATTGAGAATCTCATACAGTAGGCTTCGTAGCAAGCTGAGGGAGCTTCTGTTTCGTCCTCGGTCTGCCTCATATGGCAGGTCTCGCCCGCCCGCCTCGCCCGACCCGGACCGCCCCGGATCTCACCTGGTCGATGCCCGGGTCTTTGAGGAGAACCGGTCCTGGGGGTGCCAGCAGCAGTGATCCATCACGGCAGGTGGGTTCGGTAGGTCGAAAATAAGTACACATCCAGTCTACACATGTCTATACTGTACCCCCCCTCTTTCGAACCGAAGCAAAGGACTCCGAGGCCGAACGAAGTCGGAAGCTGGACAAGGAGTCGTCTTCCGGTCCACGTTAGTATCTTCTGATTCTCCAATAAGTTTCCTCGTCCTCAAGAGGAAACCCAAACCGTGACCGAAAGAGGCTGACTCTCCGCCGAATCCCCGCGCCGAATCCCCGCGCCGAATCCCCGCGCCGAATCCCTCGCCCCAGCAAAGGGTCCGTTCTCCAGGTGGGACCCGAGATGACTTGGACCTCGTGTCTTCGACGTGGTCGATGTGCACGTCTATGTCGATGTGGCCAATTCACTCCCAACCATAAAACAAAAGCTACTGTATACACCTAACGTCCTGCGGTCTCCCTTGGTCTTCGTCGTTTCTTCTTTGTCTGGCCCGTTTACAGATTGGCATCTTGTATGGAAAAAAAATGGATCTTCCGAAGTTGCATCCACCTGCCTCGACGACGTTGCAGGAGACGCTGTCGATGCAGGTGCTGCTGGCACTGCTGGCGCTGCCTTCTCCTGCGACGCCGCCCGCTTTGCCGCTTTCTCCGGCGATGCCGCACGCTTCGCAGTCTTCTCCGGCGGCGATGCCACCTGCTTCGCCGGTTTCTCTGGTGACGCTGCCCGCTTGGCCAGTTTCTCCGGCGGCGCTGCCCGCTGAGCTTGGCCACGCGGCGCTGTCGCTGAGCTTGGCCGCGCGGAGCACTGCTTCGTTTGCGGCGCCTGGTGTTGCCAGTGCTCACAGGGAATTTCAGAGAGGCAGGGTGTTTTTTCCATGGCAGCTGTGACTATTGCTTCTCAAGAAAGTATGTATGGGATGCTGATGGATGTTGTCATTTGGGGCAGTTCATTTCGTGAGCCAATGCGATTTGCTCGTGGCATGTAACTGTAGCTTTGACATTTTGAGGGCCACGGCAGTGGGGAGGCCCTGGCAGTGAGGATATATATATATATATATAGTCTAAGCGTCCTAGGTTTCCACTTATAGCAGTATTCAGCATGCAAGTCTGAAGCCTCCAAAGGTTTCTGTATATATAAGCCAAACATCCAAGAAGAACCATGTTGTCCAAGCATGGCCCAAGCATGAGCCCCGCGGGTGCGAACTCCTCAGTCGAACGACAGCTCATGTGATTACCCCAAAAGCGAAGCTCAGGGGTCTTCAACCATCCCAGACACTCCATGTATGCCATATATGGCTACATTGACCCCCCAAACCACCCCAATCTAGGTATATATCCCATGGAGTGTCTGGGCATGGAAATAGACTTTGGAGCAGGTTCCAGAGCAGCTTCCGAAGTGGCACTGTCACGTCCACGCCACGCATGCGCATCCAAGCACGGTGTGCACGTCGTCACGTCGACGGTTCCAATGCGTTGTCACCGTGTCATGCATTGCATGGTGTTATGTTGGTAAGTTGTTTATGCTGCTGTCATGGATGTGTAAGCATGGTAACATGTTGTCACGCTGAGTCACGCCCATGTTGTCCTCCAGACCGGCTTCTGGAGCAGATTCCCTGGTTGCTGCGGCGTTGTGATGCTTGCGCCAAAGTGGGCACAGATGCTATGACGCCAGTGATGATGGCACATTGACAAGGCTCACATGTTTCAAAGCAGCCATCGTCCGACAAAAAACACTAAATATATAGACATAGACTTGTTAGTCAACCTGTGAGGTTGCTTTGGCCGTCTAGGTGGATTCATGCCCGGCTATTGGGGATTCGGTCCTATTCTCCATTGGTGGCAGTGTGATCTCGCGGTCCAACCCGGTCGTCCGTGTGGCCTCGTCTGCTGGCTTCCGCATGTCCTGCCCGAAGGCCACCGGCTGAAAGGTGAGGGATTTCAACTCAAAGCCATGAACATTGGAGAGGTGTCGGAGTAGTAAGGATCTGTTAGAGATGAGTCTGCAACTGAAACATCATGAAGCCCCAACTTTAGGGGTCGGTCGGAGTACAAGGATCTGTTGTAGACGAGTCTGCACGGAGACACAATGATCACAAATGTACACGCTGACAAAAAAGGATGTAGAAAGAAGAAGAAGAAGCCCCAAGAACAAGAAGATGCAAGATGAGCAAGCAGGAATAAGAAGAAGCTGAAAAAAGAATAAGAAGAAGAAGAAAGGAGCAGGAACAAAAAGAAGAGCGTCCGCTATATCAGAGCGGTCACAGGGGCTGATTTTAAAGAGATCTTCCAAGTGGATAATTTCAACACTTTAGAGACACTCAACATCACCCAAATGTTTCCCAGCAAGGGCACGGCATGTGTTTCGTCCTGTCTTCCCACTTCATTTCACACACTTTCTCAAAATCTATTTCGTCTTAATCGTACCTGGTAGTATACTTCGTAGCGAAATGACCAGGGACCAAGTGCAATAGAATCAAAATCCGACAACACCACCCTGTGATGGTAATCTACACTCCCCAAAGACCGTCTCTCGAACAACTCCAGCTTCGTTTGTCAAGTGATGGGTTCGACGGCTTGGGGGCAAGGCTTGGGAGGCATGAAACAATTTTGTTCAAGTGAATTTGGTTGTTTGGCTACCTTGGTGTGGTAGGTTAGCTTGCAAGCTCGTGCCACCCATTCATTTCTTCATGCCATCACGCGCGGCGCCGCACTCCTGCTGTGCCACTCGAGCTTTGGGCGTTGAAGACGGCCTGGACGTACAACCCAGCAGCGATCCCCCCTCCGCAGCGGCTCCTGCCGAACGAACCCGTGGGGTTCGTTCGGCCGGAGCCGTCTCATTCACCGGAAAGCAGGTGGGGCCCAGCCCCGGAGCTGGCAAGATCCTCTGCCGGCTCTAGAGATCCTGGTCACCAAGTCACCAAGTCACGGAGATAGCTAAATCCAAAAACCATGCATCTAAGCAAATATCAGCTACTCCATGCTACACCAAACAGCAGAGCGAACTCCACCAGCAGAAAATCACCAGTTCAGGTGCTTAGGATTTGAGCCCAAGAGATGCCAGCCGCGTGTGGAGGATTTTCTTAGTTTTTCTGCCCTCAGTCTCCCCGGTGGTCCAGTCAGATTGTAGATTCCTTCACCTGGGGCAGCTCTGACATGGAGCTCTTGATCGGGGCGTCACCCGCAAACCATTGAAAAGGATTGAACACAAGGAAACTGGATGACACAGTCATCTGGGGAGTCTCTATCTTGAACAGTTTAACATTGTTACGTTCTTAGTGATTCGCGACGGAATTAGTAAGAACTTTTAAGGATATCAATATAGTCCACATCAATCACCAATCACATTTCTGGGTTCCAGGTCTCCACCTTGCGGAGAAATTGATCTCTGAACATATAATTGCTGAGCGACCCTCTGGTCTCACTGATTGACCCAAAAGAAACCCACGTCACCACCACCACCCTCCTTCACCTCACCAACCGAACCCACGCAGAACGACGACTTCCGCCGTCGAAGCCGGCCGCTTCGACTCTTCCGGTGAATTCTTGGACTCCTGGCGGTGCGAAGTGCGAGCGAAAGGAGCGAGCGCGAGCGAGCGCCAGCTGTGACACTGAAGCGAGCTCTGGTGATCCGACTGATCCGAGTGACTCCCAACAAGGGTGATGTTTTTCATGAAAAAATCAATTTTTGAGCCACGAATGAGCGGAGAAAATCGAGCGCTGAGATGACCAAGCCTTGACCAAGCCTTGACCAAGCCTTGACCTTCAACTTCTGCCATCTGTAGAAGGGAAACCAACTACGGCCATCTGTTGGGACACTTCATTGGGGGCTTGTTCATCTGAGCAAGTTCTTCCAAGCACTCCCATGGCTCATGAAGTCCAACCTGAAGAATTGATCTCAGCTGAACCCGAGTGGGACCAGTTCGCCAGCCCAAAGATGACCGTCTCGCGCGCTGATGGTTTTTCAGGGATGAATGGGCTCCAGTTCGATCCCCACATGTGTGTCTTGCTCTGACTCACTCATCTTCAAAAGTCATAGCATGTCATACCAGGATGGAGGAGTCGCTTCAGCTTTCAGGCAACGAAGGGAGCGGACTATGCTGCTCTAACGTCGCTGATGCCAGGATTTCAGAATATTTCACCATAGCATGACAAACAATGACATATTTATCACCCATGCAGAATGAATATTGGACACATGAGAGTATTGGAGAAGCAGAATCAAATAGATTGGAGACCTTGTCAGACATGATTCTCTGACCTTTATATGAATCCCGGTATGAATCCCAACTAACCCTCATCAACCTCATCAGCCACGCTGCCGCTTCTTCTGTGACGTCTGTCGCAGGACCCCGCAGGGCCCAAACAGAACCCGGCCTTCGTGGGTCGGGAGTTGGACCTGCCGTTGTCGAGGCAGAACAGGCCAGATCTGAAGGAAAGAACGGGCAGATCTGGGACAAGCCTGTATATGTTGATACGCCTGTGGAGGCGAATCAGGCTCCAAGTAAAATATGCCAAACGAATCTCACCCAGCGGTCTTTTGGTGAACGTTTCAGGCCGAGCAAGGTTTAACAGGACCGAGCCATGAACCCGACCGAGCCAGCTCACGGACCTGTCAGACCTGACGTGGTGGATTGCCAAGGGAGCATCTGCCGGGCATCTGCCGAACGTGGCATCCGTTGGCCACGCCGTGTTTCAGGTCTGCCAGACCGGCCGAAAGCCGCAGCGTGCCGAGACTGGCGTTTTGGTCGGTCGGGTTCGATTTCAGACCGTGGAACATCGTTCGGTCGATATCAAGTCGACCTTGTCGGGTCGTGTGCGTTGTTTTCAGGTTTGCCTCCTGTGACGTATGCAAAGAATTCCTAACTTAATCCTGAGGTGGAGAGGTGGAACAAACAGATGAATTTGAGAAGCGAGTTCCAATACATGTCTCAAAGAGATTCATGTTTTGCCCTGTCTAGGACAACTTCTCTTAGGAAGCAGCATACTGTCTTAGGACTCCAGTATGTCTCAGTATGTGCTACAGTTCACACGTTTCATACACTGTCTCATCACAGAAATTCAACCATCTCTATATATTATATATCCATCTCTCCTTTTCGGTGCAAGCATATCATGAGAACCCAACTTGCAACATTGGACTGAACTTCGACTTCACCGACTTCCAGTCTTTGTGGAACTGGTTTAAACGTCTTTTTCAACTCAAGTACACCAGCTGCTACATCCCAAACTGCCTCGACTCGGAGTACCAACTCGACTCCACTTCCACTTCCACTCCGCCGCTCGCGCCGCTCTGCCCGTCAGCCGCGCCTGCCCGTCACAGAAGAAGAAGCCTGACGGCTCAGTGGAGTCCACGTGGCCTGGTGGACACCGCGCTGGACACCGGGGTCCGGCAGAAGGTTTGGTTGAGAACCGGTCCCACGCCCTCCAAGGCCGGAGCGAATTCTATTCAACTTAGCGATGGCCTTCCTATTCAAGTAGCTTCGAGTCTAAGGCCAGCGCCCCGGCCCTCGGTTCGCGCTCCGATCGCTCCGGACGTCTTCGTCGGCCAAGCCAATTTGGTTCCGTTCGTAGCTTCTCATTGAACACAGGATGATATCGGAGATGTTCTCAATATCACGCATATCACACCCTGAGACCCTCCTTTTGAGAATTGCCCCCAAAAATAAACAAGGGTCAGACATAAATTCACAAGCCCAAGATTGAAAGTCTCCCAGGAGACTTCCATTGTCAACTCTTCCTACAAAGCAATCCTCCGGCTAATTGATTTGTTCAGTCTTCCAACTCATCCGACCAACCCACGATCAATTTCTGGTCATACGCCATGTCTTTTTTCAAGGGCAAAGTTGGTAAAGCTCCTAATACACTGCTGGAATGTATAGGAATTGCATGGAACTGCAAGCATTTGTGGAAGGGTTTGGCTTCACAAGGCTGCCATTTAATTGTTGAGTTGAATCCAAATTACCTTCGCGAATTCACTTCACCTGTGTCAAATTGTGAAGCCTACACCTTGCGCAACAAACAATGTACCACATAGATGCGTTCGCGGACATTTAGCAAGCTCCAGTCTTGTCCAAAGTCCATCCGAGAAGAAACGCTGCTCCCTTGTGCCATTGCCCCCAACATGGCTCAAAATTGCGGCGCGATCCCAGACGCGAATCTGAGCAAATCTCCACGAAAGTGGGTCACTTCCGCCTCGCCTCCTTCATGACGACCTTGCTGGTCCCGGCCGTCTTGGCAGCCTTCAACTCCTGCGTCGTAGCAGTCTGCTGTCTGCAGGTTTGCGCGCATAGGACTAGGAGGCGCAGGGTTGGATGGATCTCAAGCTTTGAAGAGAGAGGAGGAAAGTCAATCAATATCCATACTGATAGAAAATGAATAATCTTTTCTGCAAATTGACTCGATTGTCGGAATTTGTCGGAGATTATGGTTTTAATATAATGGTTTAGCCGCTTTAGCCATATTATGTTCACAAATCAATTAGAACATTACTTTAGTGTGTTGATGGTGACGCGTGGTGTAGGCACTGGGCAGTGAGATGATGTCTGTCTAGATTTTTCCTGGGCAAAATCAGGGGGCACTTCAGTCCCCTTCTCTGTCTATCTGCCCTAGGGAATCAT